TCGAGGGGTTCAGGGCAGGTGGCACACTTAGATATTCCATCTTCTTCAGGTCAACGCCCTTCGATTCCAAGTAGGCGAGAGTTTTCCAACGCCCTTCGATTCCATGTGCTGGCACCCAATCCTGTAGCAGTACGAAGTTTCCAAGACGGTACAGGCGACGACATGAAGGCAGGATTCTCCTCGAGTTGGTCGATGCAAGCGTCAGCCTTCTCAGTACGGGGCCTACGAACAGAATATGGTCTTCCCATTCCAGGAACGTCCGGTCCATACCATCAACCCGCGCCTTGGCGACTGCGGTGAAGATGATGTCCTAGACCGTAGCGACGTTGTCGGAGCTGCTCGATGTTGGAGGTCTTCCAGATCAAGAGTGCCGGTCTCCAGGTAGCTGTCCATGGGTGACTCCATACAAGAAGTTTCGCAGCTGTTTGGAGGTGACGTGAATTCCAGGCCTTCTTCAGTTCGGCTGCGATTGGCAGATGGCTTCATATTTTGGTGTACATGAAGGTGATGGACGAGAGCCTGCTCCTGCTTATCGAGGAACATCTTGGGTATCTTCGCCCTTGTCTGAGCTGAGTATTCTTTACTGACATGTGCCTCGGGTGAAGTGTCTTTTTTGCCTCCTCTCCTGTAGTTTTATCGACTGTACTATAAGTACTGCTATCAGGCAGCTGAACACGTGCACGGTTGATACAGTATTTTCCGACAGAGTGGTGTCAGGAGCCCTAAGATTATATTCCACCTGTATCGTCCACTACAGCTAGAAAACGGGTGGGTTCTCGTGAGTTGCCCCTCAACGCAGCCAAAATATTGTGAGAAGCAATATAGTGCATGAGGTTAACAATACCGGTACCGCATTTTGTGGTGTTGTAGGCGTGTTTGCAGCGGTACCACTGATGTTGATCCCTTGTTCACCAACCATCGTCTTCATTTTGTTGAATATTGAAGTCGGCTTCGGCTGAAGAGGTTTTTGTCAATGACCGTGTGGCAGCTTATTCGTCACTACGTCT